TTCGACTGCGCCTCATCGCCCACGTACGAGTCCTTTTGACCCATACCAACCATCACACCCTGTAATTACAACTTCTGCATACCGCTCTGACGTGAAGTCAGACTTTGGCTGCGTTTTAGAAATTTTGGTTGAGAGAATGGATTTCATACCGTCGAGTGGAATGTATAGAGAGGCACGCTTTTTACGTACGCAAAAAACTTGGATTTTCAGCGTCCGCTTTTCCAGATGCATAGTTAAGTATTTAGTATTTCAGAAAATAATGAGCTTATAGTAAGTTTGATTTTGAACAACGTATGACGTTCAGAAAAGCGTACTTGATGCCTCGGTCGTCCGACGATTGATGGAAATACGGCTCGCGGTGCGTCATCACCGGCGAATCCGGCCTTGCACATTCCGGAACCATTGTCCACTACCAGTGCTGCTACTTCTTCGTCACACATGTTTTTGCACGACTGCTCAAGCTTATGCTGCTAGGCGGGTTAACCTAAAAATTTTTAACTCATATTTTAATTAACACTTTGAACGCATATTTCTTAAGCAGTGGCGTGAGTGCAAGGAAAAGATAGCGCCTCAATAATCCCAAGTGAAATGAAATCCTATCCTCTAGCGGAAACTAAAACTTTTCTGTATTTACTGCATTAAAGTTTATTGTGGATGCTGGGAGCCCAAAACCAAAGCACCTTCACAGAACGTTCCGAAAATGAATCAGTGTTTGAAGCATCAAATAAATATGTCACTTTTCTTAGAAGCCAGAACATATACCGAAAACCACTGTCTACCACACCCAAGAATAACCCGAGCAGTTCGTCAGTATGTAAGGCCGCATGTAAGGCCACCCGTATGTAAGGCTGTCTCTCCCAAGGGTTACACAAAAAGCAGCAAAAAGTTTGACGGTGTCAAATTAGGTTATTAGATAAGTCAGCAAATTGTTCAGAAGTTATTTTACTCGTTGACAAAATCGAATTGCCCAAGTGGGCCATGAGAGTGAGTATTATACCCGCTAAGCTGCAAAAAGTTATCCAGAATAAAACAGTAACTTGGTCAGAGGTGCTAGGACATGGCCACAAATAAGTGTTTAATTCAAAAATCCGGGCTCAAATGACCAAAATTCGCAAACAAAACTCGAATCCGAATGTTTGAGATAAAAACAAGGTTTGTTTGGACTCCATTTTAATTGCTTGATTGTTCAGAGGGCACCAGTCCGTTTGATTGGCGCCAAATATGAAATTTATGCTTTCCGGAAATTTCATACACTACTAAGTTCGCTTATCAGAAACTTGTAACGGAAATGACCTTCCAACCCAGTTCGTAAAGTCAGCAGAATTATCAAAAATGATTTAAGCATAGCATACCGGAAAATAAGAACCAATGACCATCAGCCAAGCAAAAGTTTGATTGCTAGTATCTCTTCATGATCAAATAAGCGGCGTGCAAAATTTTATTGTGGGTGCTTGAGGAAATAAAATTCGGTGGGTAAGGCATGTTGCTTGTCTTGCTGTCAGAGTGGTAAACCTCGCGCACTTGGTACCCACAAGAAAATAAGCGATCGCTTGGACAACCCCTGAACAGATAACGCACACAGATTCGACAGACATTGGTTACTAACTGAAGGGCTTCGAATATGTTTCAGTGGAGAACCAGTAGCTATCCTCATAATAACAAGGGTATAGTATAGCCTAATTTACATAAAAGTGCCAAGGTACGCTAGTGATATCGATGTCTATAACACACGCTCTGTGGTAGCATAGTTTGAAAAAGAAGAATTCCAAGGAAGTGATGGTTGGTGGCTGGAGCTGAAAAGTGAGAAGGTCAAAACTAAACAAGCTTACTGAAACTGATCTAGCTCGAAGAACATCCTGAAGCTTTTATATACTGCTCCCCACCCTTCAGTGCTTCATTTTGCCGTTCGCCAAACTTTTAGTGCAACGGCTTTTTTTGTTGCTAAAGACGAGAGTGGGATGCAAAGGTGGAGGGACCAAGAGAGCGAAGGCTGCTCCATTCAGCTATTTAGAGGGGATGAACAGAAATTCAGCGGAAAAGGTGG